GACGAAACAGTTTGTCACAGCCCCTCGTTTGTTGTCCTCTTCTCTCTCTCTGCCTACGGTTTACCGGGCAGTTCTATTTGTGACGATATATATATTGTCACATCATTTATATATATATATATATATATATATATATATATATAGAAAGAGAAGAAGAAGACAGCGGGGTGAAAGGAGGCGAGGAAGGTGAAGAAGAAGAAGAGGGTCGGCGAGGAAGAAGAGCCGGCAGCCATAGCTGACCGGAGGGTTGACCAAGAGGGTTGACCGGAGGTGTTGACCGGCCGTTACCAGAGTTGACCGGGGTTGACCGGGGGTCATAGCAGCGTTGACCAAGACTTTGACCAAGCTGGAGTTTGTAACATCTCGCCAAGCCCTCAACCTATCCCTTGCCCTGTGGATGTGCACACACCTCTCGGTACTTGCTGAGTCAAGTCAGTCTATCTATTCTTTCTGCATTGAGTCTCTTCTGTCCTAGGTGATAGTACTCTGTGGATGAAGGATAGAGCCTGCTGACCACTCCCCTACCGGTGCTAGTAGGGCTGAGACTGTGGCTGATCCAACTTTCCAGGGGGGCATAACCCTCCCAAGGACCGGTGCTGACTGGCTGGAAACGGTTGGTAGGGCACAGTGGGCCTGAAAGACTGAGTTGCGGGCTGAAACACAGGCAATCTTCAAGTGTTGAGGGCCTGTTTGAACCACTCCCATACCGGACCAAGTAAGGTTGAGGATCTGTGTCTGACGAGTCGACTGTCCTGGGGGATACGAACCCTCCCAAGGACCGGTACAGACCGACGGGCTGCTCGGTGTGGCACAGTAGGCCGGAAAGGCTGAGTTGTGGGCTGAAAGCACAAGCAGAACCAAGCTGATCACGTCGTCCTGTCTGCGACGTTAAAGAATTCTTGCGGAGTTACGGGGGATCTCCTTAAACGCCTCCAAATCAGCCACTGGTTCATTAGTGACAGCCATAGTTAGGGCTAGGCTAGAGACCATAGTGGGCAGGATCCCTGTCAGGATTCTGTGAGTCTTAGATTGAGTCATAGGTTGTCAGTCAGGGGTTAGAATCTACGTGGTGAGGTCTGGAACCACTAACCCCGTTGTACACTTATCACCATGGTTGAGACTCGTAGTGGGTTAGACACGAGCCCCTATACTAAGGAGCAGCAAGAGAAGATGACCGCCTTAGTCAAAGAAAACAGGGAAAGGAAAGAGCGTGAGAAGCAAGCAAAGTTGAAGGCGATTGCAGACGAACAGGCGGCGAAGATGAAGGAAATAGAGGAGGAGATGGAGAAAAAGAAGAAGGCTGCTGAAGAAGAAGCGGCAACAGAAGAAGAAAAAGAAAGAATGAGGATTGAGAGCAGAGAGGGGAGTAGTGGCACGAAGAGAGACACAGACGCAGAGATGAAGAAGAAAATAAGTGAGTGGGTTGCTAACTTGTCGTTGGGTGAAGATGAGGAGGCGCAGATGTATGTGCCACAGGAAGAGAAGGCGGCGTTTGCCAGGGCCCTCGCAATGATTGAGGACCCCCTTGAACATCAAGAAGCCGAGGAGGAGAAGAGACTGGAATGGAAGTTGAGGATGAAGAGGGAGAAGAAGAGAAGAAGGGAGGAAGCTAACCGGTTGACCGCAGAAGTGGAAAAGGTGCGGACGTGTAGACAGGAAGTCCAGGCACAGACAAACGTTTCTGCCAAAATGGACAAGATGTTGGGATACTTAGAGGTGTTGAGTGAGGCCTGGTTAGACGAACGGCAAGCCAATCATGGCCAAGACATCACCCTGAAGGCCATGCGGTCAGGGTTTAGAGATTTTGTGCGCGAGATCGTCACCCACGTTGGGGGTGAAGTTAGGCAACTGAGGGATAACGTAGGGAAGTATTGCGAGGGCGCCATCGAGGGTGCCAAGGCTATAGCTGCTGTAGAGGGCGAGGGCAGACCCTGTAAAGAGCCTGTAAAGCTCAAGTTCCCATACGCGTACGGGGGAAAGAAGGAGGAGAACTTTGACAACTGGGAGGCCAGTGTCAATAGTTACATTTATTTGCAGCATATCCTCACAGAGGAGCAAGTCCTCGTGGCCTTTCAGGCCCTCAAGGATGACGCAGCTAGTTTCGCCAGGTCTCTTGCGCGCGCAGCCGGTTGTGAAAACAACCTGGTTGCGTACTCAAAAGTCACCCCCCTTCCTCAATTCCTTAAGCTCCTGAAGGAGCGATTTGCTGACCCAACGAGAGGCGTTCGCGCCTCTGACAAACTACAAACGATCCACTCACGGCAATGGAGGAGTGCAAGGGCACTCAAGGGTACCATGGACGACTTGGTAGCCGTCCCGGACCACGGGGTTACTGAGCCCCAACTGGTCCAGCTGTTTTATCGTGCCATGCCAGAGCCCCTGAGGGGGCACTTCTTTGACAAGTCTCAACAGGCCGGGATCACATATGATGTGTTAAGTAGGGAGGAGGTCCTGTATGAGTCAAAGTCTGCCAGCCACCACTTTCTGTCATAAAGACCTAGAGAAGGGGAAGAAGTGGAAGGATCGTACCATCTCAGGCCAAGTCAAGGCCAAGGATCACTTGATCCTGACGTTAGAGGAAGGTGGTACGGACGAGGTCCCATATGAACAGATTGAGTGGGGCCTAGGGGACGAGGAGAGTAGTGTAGGGCAGGGGAGGTCCTATGCTGCTGTCGCGGCTGGAGGGAGGCCGCAAGGTAGAGGAGGAGGCCAGGGCCAAAGGGGCTAGGCCATGGGAGGCCGAGGACTGGGCGCACAGGGGGTTGGCGGTCAAGGAAACCGCCAAGCGGGAGGTAGGGGTCAACGTCCCCCGCCAAATCGCCAGGGTAACCGGTCCCCGCAGCGAAGAGGTGGAAGGGCACCTCAAGAAGGTTGGCACCCAGGCTTGCCACAGGGCAGGCCCTGGGAAGACCTGGGCTTGGACCAGCGTTTATGGCAGGAACGCGTGAACATGGGTCAGTGCGTATTCTGTGGTGACCCGGCCCACGTAATAAAATTTTGTCCTAAGTATAGACAGACCCGTTGGGCTGCCCAGCGGTCAAAAGGCAGCCGCCAGTAGGGGTTGCAACTGCCCCTACTTCAGGGCCATGTGGAGCAGTGAGCGCGCGCGAACAGGACACTCCCAACCCACATGAGCCCATGGCAAAAGTTGTAGGCCCGTGCCTAGCTAGCTGTCCAGAGACCGCTTGTGTTAGCGTCTCTTTAGGCACGTCCCTCACAGGTGTGGCAGAAGAGATAAAGGAGAGGATGCCATCCTGGGCCAAGAGGAAGAAAGAGTTAAGGACAACTAATTTTGGAAGATGTAGAGGTTTTCCGAAGTAGAGTAGGGGCCCTTATAGACTCAGGGGCCACCCGTAGTTATATTAGCCGTAAGGCACTGAAGAAGCTGAGGCTAGGATTGAAAGTCCAAAAGTTGGCAGACCCCATAGTCAGTGTCCTCGCAGACAACCGCACCATGTGTGTTGAGGACTCTGTAGAGGGAGTCCAGGCGTACCTTCACCTAGAGAAGGATGGGAAGGTGGAGAAAGTTCTCCATTCCCTAACTCTCCTCGTACATGATGACCTTCCCTTCGATGTAGTATTGGGAATGGATTGGGGAGAGGCAGAAAGGGCCACACTTCATTTGAGAGAGCATGAGTGTAGACTCCCTAGCTCGTCAGGCGAGGTTAAGACTGCCCGCCTGTTTCATGTGTCAGGTGTAGACAACACCTTGGCACATTGTTGTCTCAGTGCTCCCGCGTTCGCGCGATTAGTGAAGAAGGAGCGATTAGAAGAGCAGGTCTTTGTAGATTATGTTCGACCTGTCACTGAGGCCCAGGAAGAGGATAGTTCCGTAGATCCAACCATTGCCAAGCTGCTGGAAAAGTTCAAGGATTTAACTGAGTCGCCGACAGGAGTAGTGTCGCGACTCATCCAGCACAGGATAGAGATAGAGCCTGGCAGTAGAACTCCTAAGGGTGCAGTCTACAGGATGTCCCCTAGAGAGTTAGAGGAGCTTCGCAAGCAATTAGACGAGCTCCTCGAAAAAGGTTGGATCAGGCCCAGTTCGTCTCCTTTTGGAGCACCTGTTTTGTTTGTCCCCAAGAAGGAAGGAGAGCTGAGAATGTGTATAGACTATAGGGGTTTGAACGTGATTACTGTGAAGAATGCTGAGCCACTGCCCAGGATAGACGATCTTCTAGATCGGGTGCAGGGTTGTAAGTATTTCACTAAGATTGATTTGAAGTCCGGTTATCATCAAATAGAAGTCCATCCTGATGATCAGTACAAGACTGCCTTCCGGACTAGATACGGGCATTATGAGTTCATAGTGATGCCCTTTGGACTAACCAACGCGCCAGCTACATTTCAGCGTTGCATAAATGATTTGTTTAGACCCTGGTTGGATAGGTTAGTCGTAGTCTATTTAGATGACATCCTAATTTTTAGTAAGACCCTCCAGGAGCATCAGGGTCATCTGAGGCAGGTCTTGGAGAAGCTACGAGAAGCGAACTTCAAGATCAACGCGAAGAAGTGCGAGTGGGCCAAGACACAAGTCTTGTACTTGGGCCACGTATTAGACGGAGATGGCATTAAGCCAGAGGACAGTAAGATAGCGGCGATTAGAGATTGGCCGACGCCCCGCACATTGACAGAGTTGCGGTCGTTCCTAGGCCTAGCTAACTACTAGAGGAAGTTCGTAAGGAACTTCTCCACTATCGCCGCTCCCTTGCGCAGATTGCTGAAGAAAGAGGCAATCTGGCAATGGGACAAAGACTGTACGTCTGCGCTCAAAAAATTAAAGCGCGCGTTAATAGAGTATCCTGTCCTCAAAGTTGCAGATCCGTCTTTGCCATTTGTCATCACCACGGACGCGAGTCAGTATGGGATAGGCGCTGTGTTACAGCAAGACGACGACAATGGTTATAGACTCGTAGAGTTCATGTCAGCGAGGATGCCCTGTGAGAAGGTCGCTACCTCCACGTACGAGAGAGAACTCCACGCTCTCARGCAGGCTTTAGACCATTGGAAGCACTACCTGCTTGGGAGGCACTTCAAAGTGTATTCGGACCATGAAATGCTTAGATGGTTAAAGACTCAGGCCAAGATGGCGCCTAAGTTGACTAGGTGGGCCGCAGAGATAGACCAATTCGACTTTGAGCTCAAGCCAGTGAAAGGCAAATACAACGTAGTTGCGGATGCTCTGAGTAGGAGATCAGACTACTTTGGAGCCGTAGTACACTATCTGGATATAGGGAGAGACCTGCAGGAGAAAGTGAAGCAAGCGTATGCACAAGACCCTATTTATAGCGACCTCCTAAAGAGAGTTAGGGAGGCCCCAAAGACTGAACCAGATTACTGCACTACAGACGGGTTGTTGTTTGAGAAGACTAATGTCTTTGACCGCCTGTGCGTTCCCAACAACGAAGAGATCCGTAGTTTAATCCTAGGGGAATGCCACGATACGGAGGGATATTTTGGTTGGCAATAGACATTAGCCAATCTAATGCGTGCGTATACCTGGCCAGGAATGAAGAATGATTGCGTGGAGTATGTCCATAGTTGTAAAGTATGCTAGAGTAACAAGAATATTACGTGCGCACCCCTTGGTCTTCTCAGACCCTTGCCTATTCCGGATCAGCCGGGCGACGCAGTGTCCATAGACTTCATGGACACCCAAGTCAAGAGCACACATGGTAAGAGCCAAGTCATGGTCGTAGTTGACCGCTTTAGTAAATACGCAGTTTTTGTTCCTTTGCCTTCAGAGGCACGTACAGACTTAGTGATACAAAAGTTCTTTGACTTTTGGGTTAGTGAGAATGGAATCCCATTGTCAATAGTCAGCGATAGAGATAGTCGCTTTACCAGCCAAAACTCATGAGAGTGTACGGATCCAAGTTGTTAATGTCATCTGGCCGTCATCCAGAGACCAACGACCAGACAGAACAGATGAACAAGATCCTACAGCAAGTTTTGTGCATGTACATTAGACCAGATCATATCAACTGGGATGAGATGTTGCCTAAGGTAGCTAGTGCCTACAACAACAGCGCACATCTATCTACCTGCCGCACTCCCAATGAGCTGCACAAGTCCTTTAGACCGCGCAGACCATTCGAAGGACTAACCGGGATCAGATTCACAGACTACCACCCGGTACCAGGGAATTTGCGGTACAACACGATAAAGAATTAGCAACTGTTGTTGAGAATCTCAGAAAGGCCCAGCATAGAATGATAGAGCAAGCTAATAAGCATCCCGACCGTCGCAGTTTCAGATAGGCGACTTAGTCTGGGTCAAGGCAAAGGAGTTCGCGCCTGAAGAAAACATCTCGCAGAAGTTACTGCCTGCATATAGAGGACCGTGGCCGGTTCTAGAAGTCAAGGGCGGAGACGATGGACCATCATACACTATAGAGATCCCAGTACACCTCCACACATATCCTGTGTTCCATGCTTCAAAGTTGTTGCCATGTGTTACAAGCCAACAGTTCCCTTCAAGAAGATCCATGATCCCTCCGGATATGGATGGGAGCTATGACATAGAGGGCAATGGCCATTGTAGAGGAGGATGTGTTTAGAACAGGAGGTCAAGGTCGTCCTCAGAAACAGTACAAGGTCCGCTTTGCATATCAGGAACCCGAGGATGACCGCTGGTTTACGAGATCAGAACTTCTAGAGACAACTCCCAATATAGTCAGAGCCTACGAAAGAGAACAGAAAGGTAAAGGTCCTGCCTTGAACTGAATTATTCTCGGAGGACCTCGAATTTAGGATGGCGGGAGTGAAACGGTATTCACCAGTTAGCAGTAGCTGCTGCAGACCCCAAGGTTCGATCCCTAGACCCCAACCTTATCTGTGTACAGTACCTGTGTTGACCCGTAGAATTGAACCCGTGACCTGTGTATTTGTAATAGCCGATAGGTTGTCGTAGGGTCCATAGGTAGCATGGGTTCGATCTGTAGACCTGTCGGATAGGAGTCTTAGTCGGGTCTCGACATCGTAGCTGTAGTTTTCTTGAAAGGCAAGGTCGTAGCCGCTACAGTCCAGAAGGGTCAGAATCGTAGCTGCTACAGTCACGCAAGGCCAAGTCTACGGCCTTCCGGAAGGTCCCAGTAGTGGCCTTTCGAAGTTGCCCACGTTTAAGCAGAGGCAAGTGGTCAAGTGGTGAGGCAAGTGGGCAAGTGGTAGAAGTCTACCCTGCTGAGTCAACAGTCCCAGTTCCCAGTCAGTCCAACAAGTACCACACGAGATTGTGTGCACTTTGGGCAAGGGAAATGGGCCAGACCAACGACCTGCAGAAGTATAAATCAAGAGGCAGCGCCCAACCATTGATTCATTCCTGCGTGAGCCATGCGGAAGCGCTGTCTCAGCGTCTTGTGCAAGGAGGTCTGCAGTGAGCCCGAAGTAGAAGTGGGCGAGAGAGACGAAGTACAGCCATAGCGATAGGGTAGGGGCAGCCATAGCTGCCATAGCTGTAGTTAGAGGGAAGTGTGCATGTGTTGTGTGAGTGTTCAGAGTGACGTGTGTGGGATATCCAGGGTGATCCAGTGTATGAACAATGAGTTGTTTGGGCGCTAAGTCGCCATAGCCAGTTGAAAGTGAACTCGTATCAGGAAGCCATATCTCTGAGTTCTGAGTGGGCGCATGTCGCCAGTGTGCTGTGCTGCTGTTTACATACATGAAAAGTGTGAATAAGACGAGTCTGATTGCACTGAGGTTCTCTACTACGGTAGCAATCTCTTTCTCACGCTGTATCACGAACTCCCTAGTTCCGGGCGGTAGCCTCTGAATCTGATCCCGGTTTAGTCCCTCAAACGGTCTACGCGGTCTAAAGGACTTATGTAACTGGTTGGGAGTGCGACAAGTTGCTAAGTGCACGCTGTTATTGTAGGCGTTGGCTACCTTGGGAAGCATCTCATCCCAGTTAAGGTGATCAGGTCTAATATACATTCTGAGAACTTGTTGCAGGATTTTGTTCATCTGTTCAATCTGACCGTTAGTCTCAGGATGACGGCCAGATGACATCAACAATCTAGAGCCATAGACTCTCATCAACTCCTGCCAGTTTTAACTAGTGAACCGGGTATTTCTATTGCTAACTATACACAACGGTAACCTGTGATCATTGACCCAATGGTAGAAAAACTTTTGTATTACTAAATTTGTACGTGCCTCTGAAGGCAAGGGAACAAAAACTGCATACTTGCTAAATCTATCCACTATAACCATGACTTGGCTCTTGCCATGCCTACTCTTGACCCTTGCATCCATAAAGTCGATGGATATACAATCTCCGGGCCCATCAGGAATAGGCAGGGGTTTGAGAAGACCAACAGGGGCTCGCATAGTGGTCTTATTTCGCTGGCACACCTTACAACTGCGTACATACTCTATGCAGTCAGCCTTCATACCAGGCCACGTATACGCACACATAAGGTTGGCTAATGTCTTCTGCCAACCGAAGTGTCCCTCTGTGTCGTGACATTCCCCTAGGATCAAGCTACGAATTTCCTCGTTGTTGGGATGCATAGACGATCAACTACGTTAAACTTCTTGAATAGTAACCCATCTGTAGTGCGGTAATCAGGCTCAGACTCCGGAGACTCGTTAACTCTCGTGAGGAGATCACTATAAATAGGGTCCTACGCATATGCCTCTTTGATTTTCTGTTGCAGGTCTTTCCCTATATCCAGATAGTGAACTATCGCTCCAAAGTAATCAGCTCTTCCTCTTAGAGCGTCCGCAACTACATTATACTATCCTTTAACCGACTTGAGCTCAAAGTCAAACTGATCTATTTCTGCGGCCCACCTAGTAAGCTTAGGTGTCATCTTGGCCTGTGTCTTCAACTACCTCAGCGTCTCATGGTCTGAATACACTTTGAAGTGCCTCCCAAGCAAGTAATGCTTCCAATGGTCTAGTGCTTGCCTGAGAGCGTAGAGTTCCCTCTCATAGGTTGATGTCGCTACCTTCTCTGAAGGCATCCTAGCAGACATGAACTCTACGGGTCTATATCCATTGCCATCGTCTTGCTGTAAAACAACGCCTATGCCATACTGACGTGCGTCAGTAGTAACAACGAAAGGAAGGGACGGATCGGCTACCTTGAGGATTGGATCGGCTACCTTGAGGATTGGCTACTCTATCAAAGCCTGCTTCAACTTCTTCAGGACTGATGTACAATCTTTGTCCCACTTCCAGATTGCCTCTTTCTTTAGCAATCTGCGAAGAGGTGCGGCGATAGTAGAAAAGTTCCTAACGAACTTTCTATAGTAATTTGCCAACCCTAGGAACGACCGCAACTCAGTCAGCGTGGCGGGAGTCGGCCAGTCTCTAATCGTTGCTATTTTACTGTCCCCAGGCTTTATGCCATCTCCATCTAAGACACTCGCACTTCTTCGCGTTGATCTTGAAGTTAGCTTCCCTCAGCTTCTCCAAGACCTGCCTTAGATGACCCTCATGCTCCTGGAGGGTCTTACTAAAGACTAAAATGTCATCTGGATATACAACTACGAACCTATCTAACCAAGGCCTAAATAGATCATTCATACAACGCTGAAAGGTAGTTGGGGCATTGGTTAGTCCAAAAGGCATTACTATAAATCCGTAGTGCCCATATCTAGTTCTAAACGCCGTCTTGTGCTGATCATCAAGATGGACCTCTATCTGATGATAGACTGACTTCAAGTCGATCTTTGAGAAGTATTTGCAGCCCTGTACCCGATCTAGCAGATCATCTATACGGGGAAGTGGTTCTGCATTCTTCACTCTAATGGCGTTAAGACCTCTATAGTCAATGCACATACAAAGCTCTCCCTCCTTTATGGGGACAAAAAGAACAGGTGCTCCAAATGGAGACGAACTGGGCCTAATCCAACCCTTTTCGAGGAGCTCATCTAACTGCTTGCGCAGCTCCTCTAACTCCCGTGGGGACATTCTATAAACATATCCCTTAGGAGTTCTACTG